TTCAAAATATTCTGATATTTGAATAAATCTTCATATTCAATTAAATTTAACAAAAATCTAGCAAATTTTTCTAGCTCAAAATATAATAGCAAATTTTTTTAACACATTTGTTATTGAAGTTGAAGCACTCCTTTAATTATAATCCGTTGTTGATATCATATGTAAAAAGAAGATATTAGATATTCTCTATTTCTAAGTAAATAATAATATTTATATTTATGAATTAATTTTTATTTTTCTTTCAGTTCAATGGCTATTAAAATCAGCAAAGGATGCCCATATGAATATGCTTCGAGTTTGGGGAGGAGGTGTTTATGAATCCGAACTTTTCTATGAAACTTGCGATGAATTGGGCATATTGATCTGGCAAGATTTTATGTTCGCTTGTGCTATGTATCCAACTTATGAAAAATTCCTAAAGTAAGTATAAAATATAGAGTTAATCATGTGCATCGTGTCCCTAAATCCAGTATTCTATCAGACAGTAATGAAAACCAGAAAAGTAGATCCTTTCTGTCTGGTAATCTGTTACATTACCAGCTCAATCCTATCTAAATATGTATTATTACTTTTTTATGAAATTTTTGATATAATTTTTGAAATTATATTTTAGTACCGTGGAAATAGAAGTTGTGCAAAATGCAAGAAGGTTACAACATCATCCTAGTATTGCTATTTGGGCTGGAAACAATGAAAATGAAGCTGCTTTACGTCAAAATTGGTATGGAACTATTACTGAACAGGAACGATATGAAAAAGAGTAAGTATGAAAACTTTATTTACATTAAAAATTTACCGTTAAATGTATTGCAAATAGAGCCTCATGTCTTCTATAATTTGCCATACAATTTTAAGGCGTTTGCGATCACTAGTTTGTATTTTATTCGATTAGGGAAAATCATTAATTCATGTAAGGTGGGACAAATGATAAATTTTTCTAGGAAAAAAATGGACTTGCTCTCAATGGACCATAATTTAAGAAGCATCTACATCATCATTTTCAGCATTGATGAGAATTTCTAGCTAATTTCATAAGAATTTATATTTAAATCAAAATAACTGTAAATCCGTTATTTTTTTAATTAACTTCTTTTTTTAAATATTTCAAATTTGGTACAAATCAGTGTTTTTGTGTTTGTAGATATAAAGAATTATATGTGAATGTAATAAGAGATGCAGTAAGAAGAGTAGACCCATCAAGAACATTTTTAGTGTCAAGTCCATCTAATGGTATAAATTCAGAAGACCAAGATTTCATAGCCAGTGATCCCCAAGATTACAGATATGGAGACAGTAAGTTAAATACCCTTACTGTAAGTAAATTACCCTTCTTCTTGATAAAATGTTTACAATACCATTAGTTCAAAAAACTTTAAGTAAGACAAATTTAACAATACTTGCATTTTTTATGAAAGTAATGCTATATCATGTCATCATAATAATAAATGTAACAATCAATCAATAATATGAAGAGAAAAATTCTTCGAACATATAAATGTTGCCAAAAAAAAATTTTTGCTATATTTTATTTAATATAATATAAAATATTTTTAATTTGATCAGTGCACGTATACAATTATGTGAACGACGGTTGGGATCCGAATATTTATCCAAAAGCCAGATTTGTGTCTGAATATGGTTTTCAAGGTTTGCCCTCACATCATTCCTGGACAAGTGCTAAAGCTGGTCCGGAACATAGGTAAATTTTATTATTACAGAAAATATTTGATGATTTTTTTGTATATGAAGAAATGTAACGATTGAACCAATTACAATTTGTAATAATAATATTTCTATATTTTTATGCTTGATTGCAGGCAGCACTTGCCACTAGGCTACAAACCAATGGTGACGCTCATAAAAAAACATTTGCCATTACCAAGTGAAAATAGTGTACATTTTCCTGAAACTGCATTTTACTACAGTCAGGTAAAAATGATCAACAAAAATGCGAAAAAAGATACATACATATCTATATCATCAATAAAAAAGTAGTATTTAGTATGAAATTTTCTTCAGTAAAAATTGTAAATTTTGAAAATTGCTGAAATTTTTTTAGTATCTCGATATACAAATTCAAACCAAATTAAAAATTTGGAAAAATATCAGGATTATAATTTAATTATTTATATGTTTTAGTACACAATTCAGAAATTAATTTTTTTGAATACAAGTATAAGTAAATTTATAAAAAAATTATTATTAGAATGAAATGAAAATAAAAATTTAATATATCATTGGTGAACACGATTTATCCTAAAAATAGTCGAATTTTAGAGCATCGACACAAAGTCTATCTGCAAAAACACCACGACAATTTGTAACATTTACTCAACATTTATATAAATATCTTTTTCTAAAAAAATTCTGTGCAAAAGTCTTCAATGTTTGTATAATGTGATTCAAAAATCAGATTTATGGCAATTATCACGACTTTTAAATCTAGTGAAGTATGAAATCCTAAACAGCAATAAGTACTTGTATACTTTTTACCAAAAACTACAAAATTGACGTTCTTCATTAACGACAAAAAAAATACGATGTCTATGAGTGACATTTTTAGCTCCTCATTGCTCTTGCTTGTATTATATAATTCTTGTTGTATGATGATGTAAAATATGTAAAATTATGTCATAATTGATTTTTTTTTAATTTAAAATAGATTAGCCAAGCGATGGCAACTAGAACAGAATCCGAGGCATATCGCGTCGGTAGAATAAGTCCAGCAAAAACTATGGGTGCTCTCTATTGGCAATTGAATGATGTATGGGTTGCCCCATCTTGGTCATCTATAGGTAATTTAAATTCAAAACCAAAAATTACAAAAATAGAATAATATCTATTATATTCAATAATACCTTTGACGAATGTACCTACAAGCCATTATAAGATATAAAAGATATAAGTAGCATGCATAGGAAAAGCATCATATCTTTTGTTCGACAATTTAAATACTACATGGACGAATATTTGTCTCTCAAATTAAATGGTCATGATATTATCATGACAAATGCTTACTACAATGTGCAATGTACTATCCAATCATTTAGAATTCTATTCCTTTTCACTCCAACGCTGTTTTTGTTTTTATTCCACCAGTTCCACACTAAAATTACGATTTTTTACTTTCAATGTTTTTGTTTTATTTTATAAAAAGTATAATTTTGTAGCTAGAATATTAGCAACATATTTATTTATTTTATATTTCAATCATTCGTGATTCCAACATTTTAGTTACAAAATCTTTTCTGTTTTAAAATTTTCTGCAAAAAGAGGTATTACACCTCCTACACAACTACATGTCGCCTATAACTCGACAGTAGAGCTAGTGGAACAAAATCAGTATAGAGTGACACTCGACATCGTAGTTAGGGTTAAGAAAAACAATTTATATATCTACCTTTTTCTATGTAGAATACAACGGCGATTGGAAAATGCTCCATTACCATGCCACAGAATTTTTCGCTCCAACAATTGTCAGTATGCAATTATCTGAAGCAAAAATGCTGAAGATTTTCGTGGTCCGAGATCCTGTAAAAGGAATAAGGGCTACATTAAAAATCAGTTATTACGGCTGGGACTCATTGACACCGAGGAAAGTTGATGAAGAAAAATTGTTAATTGTAAGTAGAAAAGATAATTAAAAAAGATTAAAATTGAATTTCTTAAAGTTCTTAAAGTCAAAAATGATTTATCAAATATAATGATACATTAAGCTATTGGTTCACCTATTGATTTGTGTAGTTGAATGAAATCAATATTGATAAAATTTTGCCAAAAGTCTGCGCAGTTCAGAAGAAAGTAGTAATTAAGAAAAAATCTGGTTTTATGTTTACATTAGATTAAATGATTCATGTTATTAGTCTTAAGTTTTAGAGTATAGTTATACGTTTGAGATATATGTATTTTTCATTATTTTAGAAAGGCAATAGTGTGACAGTGGCCCAACAATCTGCTCTTAGACGCAAA